CTATCCAAGTGTACGGGCTGAAATTGTGAAATAACTTCACAAAGCTGTAATTGTTCATGCACAACATGAACCTGGAGAATTCATATCTCCAATTTTTGTACGCCCCAAAAAGGACGGCACAAGTCGAATGATTTTAAATCTGAAAGATCTTAACCAGCATGTAGAATACCACCATTTTAAAATGGAAACACTCATTGATGCTATCAGGCTTATGACCCCTAATTGTTTTATGGCGTCAGTGGATCTTAAGGACGCGTATTATTCGGTCCCTATTGCCAACCCACACCAAAATATCTAAAATTTGCATGGGAAGGTTCACTATATGCATTTACATGCTTCCCAAATGGGCTTGCTAGTTGCCCACGGAAATTCACAAAACTTCTTAAACCAGTGTATGCAGTTTTGAGAAAACTGGGACACACTTCGTCCCCATACATTGATGATTCATATCTACAAGGGGATGACTATGTCAGCTGTCTAGAAAATGTTATAGACACTGTCCGACTGCTATTTACACTAGGGTTTGTTATTCACCCTGACAAATCTGTGCTTATCCCAACACAGAGACTAATATTTTTAGGATTTATACTTGATTCAGTTCTAATGAGAGTCTATATGACACCTGAGAAAGTAACTAAGGTCATTGAGATGTGCTCTGAACTATTAATTAAAGAACACTTCGCCGACCATCAGAGAGGTCTCCCAAGTCGTGGGATATATAATTTCGACTTTTCCAGGAGTCATGCTAGGGCCACTCTTTTTTCGACACCTCGAAGGTGTGAAATCGCAAGCCCTTAAGGTCAACAAAGGCAATTTTGACTCTCTAATGACATTAAATGATGAGGCTAGAGAGGAGTTGACCTGGTGGGTCAACTCTGCCCCAGACAGCTACATTGTTGTTAGCCATGGGCTACCAGCTATTGTATTAACCACAGATGCCTCTTCTACAGGTTGGGGTTGTACCCTGGGTGAAACTAGGACAGGGGGAAACTGGACCAAAGATGAGGCACAACATCATATAAACTACCTAGAGTTGTTAGCTGTCTTCTTGGCACTGAAAACCTTTGCAAACTCTTTAGCAGGAAAACATGTAAAAGTTATGATTGATAATATGACTGCGCTATCTGATATTAATCACATGGGTACCAGTAAGTCAGATTTACGTAATGCACTTAGCAAATCTATGTGGCTCTGGTGTCGTGCAAGACATATTTGGCTTACAGCTGTCCACATTCCTGTGGTAGAAAATGTTGAAGCTGACCATCAGTCTAGAATCACCAACACTAGTGCTGAGTGGTCACTCAATAAACAGATATTTTATGATGCAATATCTAGATTAGGGGTAACACCCGATATAGATCTGTTTGCTTCAAGAATAAACTACCAAATAGAACCATATGTGTCTTTCCATCCTGATCCAGGAGCTATAGCTGTAAATGCTTTCCATATGTCATGGAGGAGCTATCAACCTTATATATTTCCACCGTTCTGTCTCATTTCTAGAATTTTACAGAAAGTCCAGGAGGAACAGTGCACTGTTGTTGTGGTAATCCCAAGATGGGTCAACTAATAGCTCAACCAATACTATTACCGAAAACAAAGACGACACTGATCCTCCCGAGCAATCCGGAAGCAATACATCCACTGTATCCGCATCTAGAGCTAATAATCTGCCACTTGTCTGTCTTGTCCAATTCATCCCACTATGTCAGATGGAATAAATTTTTTATCATCCCTGTATGAATCCGGCGTCGGTCAGTTACAGCGGAATTAATACTGCACGAAGTGCGTTATCCTCTATCCTTCTACTACCAGGAAATGTCAGTTTTGGTTCTCACCCACTTGCAACACGACTCCTTAAAGGTGTATTCGAACTGAGACCATCACTTCCTAAATATCAAGATACGTGGGATATCTCTGTCGTGCTTAAAGTTCTTGAAGAATGGAAACTTGAAGACAGTTCACTTAAGGTTTTGTCACTCAAACTGTCTATGCTGTTCGCAATTACAACAAGTCAGCGGCTTCAGACCCTCAAGGCATTATGCATCAATAAGATGAACTTAAAATCAGACCAGTGTAGTTTTGAAATTGATGTGTTGCTGAAAACCTCTCAGCCGGGAAAACATCTGAACAAAGTGGTGATAGCAGCTTATCCGGGTAACAAAAATTTGTGCCCGGTGCAACACTTGAGGTCCTATTTGGAAAAAAACATCAACATTGAGAGGTAAACATATCCAATTGTTTGTGAGCTTCTGGAAACCGCACAATCCTGTTTCAACTGACACTCTTGCGAGGTGGATTAAAACTGTTATGCACAAAGCTGGAATAAACACAGAGATATATGGTGCTCATAGCACCAGGGCGGCTTCCACTTCAGCAGCACATAGGAAGCATATTGATACCAACAAAATCCTTGCTGCCGCAGCTAGGGTGGACTAATGAGACCACCTTTAGTAAGTTCTACAACAAAACTATTGTAGATATTACAAAGAACTATGGCGAAGACCTATTGTCTGCCATCATGAGTCAAAACTCTTGAACTAACTCCGTAACTGTTTATTTGTACTGTTTACTGATTTAATATTTTCACTATATACCATTCACATTGATTGAGCTTCACTGTTGTGATTTTGCTTCTATGGGTCATGACGCTTTGAAGTCTCACGTGACTCCTTAGCGAAAATAACCAATCATGAAGTAGAATTGAAAGTTAAACGAGACTTACCTGTAAGTTGAAGTTTGACGTAGATTCTACGAAATATTGGTTATTGAGCTAAGGAGTCAACCTTCGCTCCCAGTGTTGGGATATGACCTACACATTGTATTGCACAATCTCCCTCCCAGGTTGTGATGTCATGACCCTTCTGCTTTAAAGTGTGATCTAGCTTGCTTCGCGCGCATATCTCCCACGTGACTCCTTAGCTCAATAACCAATATTTCGTAGAATCTACGTCAAACTTCAACTTACAGGTAAGTCTCGTTTAACTTTCAATTCTGCGTCAGAAAGTGATTCTGATAATGTAGATGATACTAGTAATGAAGTAGGTGATGAATACGAAAGCGATCCATGGGCTCCTTTAAAAGCTGAAGCAGCCCAACAAAGTTTATCGGAATTCGAAGAACTAGCGCAGAATTTCACTGCAGAAGGTTTTGACGAAAACGAAGCTAAAGACAAGGCATACTTACTTATCCTACCAAAACTTCGTAAAAATTTGCAGATTATTTATTTGGAACGTCTACTATGGATAAGGGACTGGTCATTATTTATGGTGGGGAGTGGCACCGAAGAGAAAAGGGTTGGGTAAACTAAATTTTGAGTAAGTAAAAGGTTGGGTAAATGAAAAACAAAACAACTCGAGGGTTGGGTAATAAAAAATTATTGTCATTTCCAAAGCATGACTCACTGAAGTATTGGGGACTAAAAAGCAATGGCAACAGTAGGCCCTACTCTGGGGCAATAACGAGATAAGCAATTTTAGGTATGTGATTTTAATAAGCAAAATCTGCAATTTTTAAGGACTTTAAGCAATGCGTGTTTGAGCGATATGAAATGGGGGAATGCTGTTTTAGGTGTTTATAGAGGTAATTTCAGGAATATACGTCAACTATATCCCTGATGACTCCAGTGAAATTACCATTAACTTATCCCAAGCACCAAACATGAGTGTTCCCACAAATACACACGTGTGCAGTGTATGAAGCAAAATATACAATTTGACAAGAAAAGTTGAAGTCTGCTTGAGGGGGTTCTGGTAACAAACAATACACTGTATGTGCATGACGATCAAGTGCTTCAAGGGTAAATAAGCTAAATATTCATGACTTTTTTCATCCATTGTCTATTTCGAAGCCATTGAGGTATTGTTAAATTCATGACACAACTATATATATAATACATGACAACATCATATGCAATTGCAAATAATTTTCAAAGGAACAGGGTATACAGAATTGCAATATAAAACAAATAAGTAAATTATACATGTCATGAACTTACCAGTTTGTGTTGAGTTAAATTTAAAAATTTTTATGACATCAAATTTATTTATTTATTTGCAAATCAAAACTTATTTTAAAATTCTCATGTTTTGTATTGTGCCCGCAATATATTAATGGTATTAACCGCTGTAAATATGATATACAATTTAAAATTTTTAATAATTAGTACATTATTACATTTGCACTCAAAAGTTCAGGAAGTGAGTTTCTAGAAAGGATGAAAACTCCGTTTTATATATGGTGTATAAAAGGTAATCGTTGTTCACTGTTTATTTTGTATTCAGGTATGGGGAATTTAAGCGATGATAGTTGCAAAACTTGCAAATGTAGACTGATTAGTTTCTTTGACGTCATCATGCAACTATATAATATTGTGCTACATTCATTATTCAATTTATTCACAGCAATTAGCCTTCTATAAACCATACAAATGATTATTGCTTGTAGCCCACCTTGCCTTTAACATTAATCCTATATAATGAATTAATATAACTAACTTGATTATGTTGCTAGTCGATTATGGGACCTATGGGTCTTTTATATCAACACAAGTGGAAAATGGGAAAATGAGAAATTAATTGTGTTGAAAACACGACGCCCGAAAAAATATAGCACATAGACATATAAAGAAAGAAATTTTCCGACATTTCTGTGTTGACATTGAGTTATATCAACACGGCTCTTAGCCAATCAGCATTCAGAATTTACAAATGCTATATTATAAAATCTGTTATCAAACTTATGTCACAGAAGTGGTAAAGGACATATGTGACAACTGTGACCAATCAGCATTCAGAATTTACAAATGCTATATTATAAAATCTGTTATCAAACTTATGTCACAGAAGTGGTAAAGGACATATGTGACAACTGAATGGCACCTTTTGTAAATGTTTTGGCCAGGGGTGGGTATTTATTTTTTAACTGATATTTGAGGTTGGGTAATTATTTTTTTTTACTTTTTAATGGTTGGGTCGGCAAAATTTTTGCCACGGAAAACATTTCTCTTCGGTGCCACCCCCGCCTTAAATAATGACCGGTCCCTAAGACAACTAAAGAGAGACCCAATACACAAAAATATTATGGAAACCAGGGATGTCTTTCTCAACGATGATAATTTCGACCGTTAGAGGCCGCTATTGAGAAGAGAAAATTTCTTTTGAAAAGACTTTACGATCCTGTGTGGTAGCTATTTTCCCCTAACCCATTTCTCTAACCCTTTCCCAAGTCCCGGCAAACCTTCAAAAAGGCCTTTGGGACCACAACTATTTAATGTTAGGAATCAGTTGACATTTATCATTTGACATTATGCCTCAGAGGTGTAAAGATTGTCCCATCTGCGGCAAGCGTGCTTCAAAAAGATTGGCAAACCATTTGGCAGACGTCCATGAACTTTCGTCCCAAGAAAGACAACCTTATCTTATTCGTGCTAAGCCAACAGCTTTAGACTTAGAAAATGTTTTAACAGAGTTGTACAGATTAATTGGGAACAGTAAAAAGCAGTCAAAGTGGACTAAAAGCGGGATAAAGAATATGCCCATCCGTCAACCAAAATCCTCCAGGAAGAGAACAAAATCAAATACAAAATCTGCAAAGAACGTGGATAATACAGAAATGAATGATGGCTCAAAGGAGTGGTTAAAGTTAGAAACAAAAACGGGACAAAACTTTTCACCCTCACTCCACCACACTCCACCACCACAAAAATCCGGCCCGATCGGCCTCTATAGGCTATTACTACTCAAATGCTTGAAACCTACTTTGACCGTGGTACCACGGGAAAAAGAAATTTGATATTCTTGAAAATGCATGGATATAGTGTACAATTATTTACAATATCCAATATGTATAATAATCATAGGAAAACATCTCATTATATTACTTCAACTTTAGGTTATAACTTTATTTGGATACTTGGCTTCTTATGTATGGACATTATCCTATGCATTAGATACATGCTTTCAAATCTATCGAATAGAATGGTGAGTAGAACTATATGAGAGGTTCAACACAAACTTGTATTATATATATATATATATATATATATATATATATATATATATATATATATATATATATATATATATATATATATATATATATATATATATATATATATATATATATATATATATATATATATATTATATGTGTGTGTGTGTGTGTGTGTGTGTGTGTGTATGTATGTATATGTGTGTGTGTGTGTATCTATGTATGTATGTGTGTGTGTG